GCTTTTTGTTGGTACAATATATAATACAATGGAACCTATGGTCCTGGGCCAACTCCTGCATCTCCTTTCCCACAAAGTAGGTTCCTGGTTGGATGGAATGTTACTGGGGTCCATGACAATGGTCAAAAGCTCTGTAAGCCTTCATATGCTAGTACTAGCTGAAGCCCTGAGGACAGGAAAGGTAAATCCATAATCAGAATATGTGTTAATTCCTGTCCAGTGTGGAAGTAGTTCTGCCTTGCCATCAAATGGTTGGTTGGTCTCCTTGAGGGACTGTGCCATATCTGGGACTCTGAATTTGTCTCTGTTGTTAGCAAGCTGAATATTTTGTGGCACTAATAGCTACATCAACTTTGGTAAATGAAAGCCCATGCTGTTTGGCCCATGGGTAACTTCTATCCTTGCCACCATCGTGCCACAATTAGGAAAACAATGACAAAGAATAGATGATATTAACTGACCACATCATTTTGTCTACCTGATGTACTGTCTCATTCACAGTACATGCTCTCTGTGGGTTTTAATGTAAAATACAAAATTGTTTACATACGCTTCATGCCTACTACCATTTCTCTCCACATCCCTCCACCCCAGGTCTCCTTTTCCTTGATCTTCCAATCTTGTTCTTCTCAGATACCTTACTAATTGACAATCCATGCACCACTGCACATGAGGCCATATATATTCTAACTTTAGGTCACTTTTCCTTTCACACAAAGGGAATTACCAGATATACTGATAAAATTATTTTTTTTTAAGATTTTATTTATTTATTTGACAGAGAGAGGGATAGTGAGAGCAGGAACACAAGCAGGGGGAGTGGGAGAGGGAGAAGCAGGTTTCCTGCTGAGCAGGGAGCCCGACGTGGGGCTTGATCCCAGGACCCTGGGACCATGACCTGAGCCGAAGGCAGACACTTAACAACTGCGCCACCCAGGAGCCCTGATATACTGATAAAATTCTTACTCCACTGGGAGAATTTTCAGGGCCACTCCTGAATGGCACTATAGTGTACTGTCCATCCATTTCTGGCTTGTATACTGAATGGATGAATACGTGAATCAAATTTTTCCTCCTCTATCAGCTGGTCATAGATGATCCCCCATGAAGCCATACATACATATATGAGCTGAGGGAGAGGTACTAATGCAACCATGGTGAATGAAATGGAGCCTGGGTTACATATTCATGTGACCTGCTTGTGCACTCTGGTCCTGATAATGCTTGATTCCAGATGTACCACTTTTGTCTACAGTGGGCGGTTATGACTTGGTGGGTCTGAGAGAACCCAACTCACAGTGGACAGTTATAGGCACTATAGGAACTACAGCTTACAGAAATGCATACTGAGGTATTTAGTATTTTATTAAAAATTGAAGGAAATATAACTTTAAAAGTCAATGTAAAGAAAGAGAGCACCAAAATAAAACTATTATCACTGATAATGACCACTTTGCCATTCAAAGTTAACATTTTTTAATTGTGATAAGGCCTTACACAGGAACTAAAACTCTAATTTTGCATTTCACTGGATTACTGGTAACAATGTATTAATTACCTATAATTTGAAGTATGGCAAGTAGTTCTCTGTTGACAAATTGAATGGTCTTAAACAGGCAGTCTTCTCTGAATCAGTTTTCTCTTCAGCAAATAGAAATAACAATGATGCCTGACACAGAATTCAGGACATGACTCCCTAATCCTAATCCTACTTATCTGCTCTAAGCCAAACTGCCTCTCTATGTATAAATTATGTCTTTAGTCCAGGACTTTTCAAACTTATCTATAAAAATTCCTTCACAGCTTAGGAGAATGGAAGCTTACCTCTGGGACAGAAGACAGACACAAAAGCTGCAACCTCTTGCATACAGAGCATGTGACTATGAATTCCCTCTTTTGTGAAAGATATTCTGATTTGTATTCTTCCCCTTGAAAAAAATCTATCTGAACATAAAATATCCAAATGATTTGACAGATAAATGACAAATCCTCTTCTACCCAAATCTTAAAGTTATTGCTCCGAAAAGATGTAATATTCCTCTCTTTATTTCACTGCTGAGAAGAGTAAGAAGGTTTATGGTCACTCACAAATATACACAGTCTTAATATCACAGGATTTTATAACCATATAATCAAAATCATACATATCCAGCTCAAAGTCATGCAGCTTCTCACACAAGTCTGTTCACACCGGGATTCACATTTACAGTATCTACAGAACGCACACATAAGAAAAGCATATCTTTCAAAATATCACATAAATTTTAAGTCATACAGATAAAAACATATAATCTCATAGCTAAAGTCACAATCTAATAGGCCTCAAAAAAATGCATCATATTATATAATTCCATACACAGTCACAAAGGCACTCAAACTTTTTATTGCCTATTCCCCAAGAGTCTGGGAAAGAAAAACATTTTAGGAGACTGAAAAACATGTTCCAAACTTCACTTTCAAGGTACTCAGGCAGCTGGGGAAGGAAATGTTGCACTCCATACTGGGGCCATGGAGGGGCTCTCATGAGAGAAGCTCAGAGTTCACAGGCAGATGCACCTAAAGTCGGAGGGTATGGTGCTGTATTCCCAAGTCCCAACGGGGAGGTGGAAGAGGTATTAAGATGGATAGAAATCTGGTTTGATTTGACTAAGATGCCGGGCTGCATTATGACTTTCATGGGCCCCTTCTTCCATAAAAAAAAGAGAAGAAAGACTGTATTTTATGGGGGCGCCTGGGTGGCTAAGTTGGTTAAGCGACTGCCTTCGGCTCGGGTCATGATCCTGGAGTCCCGGGATCGAGTCCCACATCGGGCTCCCTGCTCAGCGGGGGGTCTGCTTCTCCCTCTGACCCTCTCCCCTCTCGTGCTCTCTGTCTCTCATTCTCTCTCTCAAATAAATAAATA